TTTCAAATTCTGTATCGCAAAAAAATTGTTCAAATTTTTTTTAATCTTTTTCAAGTATTTGGAAAAATCTTGTCAATTTATTGATTTTTTGTTTCTTCAACTTTTTTATTGGCTTCAACTTTCTTTATTTCTTTCATTTTTTTGGAAATTTTCCAGTTCTTTAGAAATTTTTCATGACTTTTTTAATTTTTGAATTTTTTATAACTTTTTCACTTTTGAATTTTTTCCATTTTTTTATTTTTATAATTTGTTTCTTTTTATTTTTTCCATTTTTTGAATTTTCAATTTTACTTTCTTTTTTTGACTTAATTTCTTTTTGTTACAAATTTTTTGTAAAGTTTCTGCACTTTTTAAGAGTTTCATTTCTCAAAATTATTAAATTGAATTTTCTTAAAGTTGAATATTGTTTAAGGTTTATTTCCTTAATTTGAAAAAATTTGTTTAAATTTTTAAATTTCTTTAGTTTTTTTTAAACTTTTCCCGAGATGTTTCAATTTTTTTTCATTGTTTTCATTCTTGAAATATTTTTGCATCTTCTTCAATTTTTTATCCATTTTATTTTCTTCAATCCTCATTTTTTTTCTCTAAATTCTTTCTAATTTTAGAATTTTTTTGAATTATTTTGCAAAATTTTTGAAATTTTTTAACTTTTTAGAAAATGTTCTAAATTTTTCTCAATTTTTAGAAATCTTTCCATATTTTCCTCATTTTTTGAATTCGTTCTTGCTTTTTTCAACTTTTGAATTCTTTAATTTTTTTCCCATTTTCTGAATTTCATTTTGATTTTATTACTTTTCTTGTTTTTTCACTTCTCCATCATTTATATAATTGCATTTTTGATTTTTTTTATATATGTTTTTTTCATTATTTGAATTATTATTCATTCTTTTGTATCTTTTTTTCAAACGTCGATTTTTTAAAATCTTCTTTTTCTCTGTTATTGTTGCATTTTTCTTTTTTTCTTCATTTATTTTTCATTTCTTTCCTTTTTTTATTCTTTCAATTGTTTGAAATTTTTTTTGAGTTTTTGAAACTTTTTTACTTTTCTCAACTTTTTCATTCTTTTTAATCTTTTTTACATTTAATTAAATTATTTACTTTTTTTCATTTGTTAAATTTTCAATTGTTTTGTTTTATTACTTTTCATTTTTTTCTTTCTCTTGGTTTTTTTAAAAAAAATTTGTTGTCTCTGTCTATTTTCTCTTTTTTCTAAAATTTTTTTCATTCTCTTTCATTTTTCCAACACTTTTTAAATTTTGTCATTTTAAACTTTTTTACTACTCTTTTCCATGTATTATTCATTTTTTATTTTTATTATTTTTTTTCCATCAAGTTTATTTATTCTATTGTTTTGATTTGTTACTTTTTTAAATTTTTTTCAGCACTCTTTCTTCTTTTTTCTTTTTTCTGTTTTTAATTGTTTTTCATTCTTTTCTCTTTTTTTCCTTTCTTTCTGTTCTCTTTAATTTTTTTTCTTTTCTCTCAACCCTATTTCATTTTTTTCAATCGTTTTCAATCATCTCATTCTCTTCATTTCTTCCCCATTTTTGATTCTTTTTTCATTTTTTGCATTTTATTCTGAATTATTCTCTTTTTTATTAATTTTTTCATTTCATTCTGCTTTTTCTTTTGTTTGACTTTTTTTTTCTTTTTTACATTTTCTTTATTCATTTCTTTTTTCAATTTTTTAGAACTTTTTTCTTTTTTGAATTATCTTTTTTTTTCTGATTTGTCAAATTTTGTTTTTGAATTTTTTTTCTGTTTCTTTCATTTCTTTTAATTGATTTGAATTTTTGAAGAAAAGTTGAATTTTCTTTATTCTTTTTTGAAAATTTTCTAGATTATTTTTATTCTTGAAATTTTTTGTCATTTTTCTCGATTTTTTAATTTTTTCTAATTAATTTTTCTCTCTCCATTTTTTGAGTTTTTATTATTCTTTTTGAAATTATCTCATTTTTAGGTTTTACGAGTTTTCTTCTTTTTATTTCATTTTTTCACTACTTTTTATATCCTTCAATTTTGTGAAAATTTTTGATATTTTTAAATCATCTTCAATTTTTGTTTTAATTTCTTTTCTTTATTTTTTTTATTTTTTATAATTTTTTTCAATCGTCATAGATTTCTTTATTTTTTTCAATCTTCGGATCTTTTCTATTTTCCTAAATTTTTTTGATTTTATCAATTTTTTTGAATTTGTTTTTTGTTTTTATTTTTGAATGGTTCGATTTTGTTTCAATCTTTTGATTGTAACAAAATTGTGGATTTCTTTAAAGCCTTCGATACGATTGCCTGTTATCATGAAAATGCACCAACAAGGTTTTTCCACAGATTTCCTTTCATGGATAACAAGTTACCTTACATTCCGCAAACAGTTTGTCCAAATTGATGCAAGCTCGTCAGACAGTCTACCAACAACCTGTACATAAATGACCTGCAAAGCCACTTTCAATCCAGCTCGGTACAGTACGCTGATGATACTACGATCTACGAAACCCGCAAGCCTAAAGAAATACAGAAGGCACAAAATCGACTAAACGAATCGCTAGCGAAAGTAACTGATTGGACTAATAACAATTCTCTGGCAGCCAACGCGGTCAGAAAAAAATACATCTTATGCGCATTTAAGCGGCAATATGACTTCCATCAACTAAAAGACTAGCAAATCGAAATATCCTTAGGTTCGACGAAACTGAAGCTAGACAAAGAACCTCGTTATCTGGGAATGTACCTCGACCCACACTTGACCTGGGAAAACCACTTATGTCCTCTCCAGTTGTTATAACAAGCTATCTGTTCTACGAAAAATGAAGAATTTTACACCGTTCAAATCGCGTAAAATGTTAGCGGAATCATTGATTCTATCAAAAATTGATTATATGTTTATTCTCCTTTGAGCCAACAGCAGTTGAAAAAACTACAGCGACTACAGAAGGCTGTGGCAAGCTTCGTACTTAAACGTTATGCCCATAAAAATTAAATCTTGAAACTTGGTTGGCTACCAATTGCAGAAAGACGGGAATTCAACCTATTACAACTGACCTTCACGGCAATTCACAACACTAACTGGCCTACAATTAATAAACTCGAGCTGCAAACCTGTAACAGAGTACTGCGAAGTAGTAACGAAACTCGTATAAGGCCTCCTGTATAAGGCATTCACTAATAGTATCCTGTATAAGGCCATCACTAATAGCAGGTACTTTTGAAGACGCCATTGCAAAATGCTTTAGTGCCTTACCTGGATCAATAAAATCACAGTCTAGCCTCACGACATTTTGTTTTAACTTAAAGAAGGATTTATTTGACAAAGCAAGCAACAAATTGGACTAAAAAACATTTTTTCTTTTTTTATAAATATGTAACCGTTCTTAACTTTAAAACTTGTAATTTGCCTTTGCTTTAATTTTAGAGTTGAAGAGCCACACTTGTAGTGGATATGCTCGATTGTACCATTATTATTATTATTATTATTATTATTATTTTTGTTATAATCTACGCTGATATACCTGGCTTTCTTTCACCATCAATCATAACTGGAGAAAACCTTTGCCCTGATCTTCTCTTGGGGACTAACAACAATTACCTCTACATTTTAGAGCTAACTGTTGGCCTCGAATCCAATCTTAACACAAATGCTACAAGAAAACACAGCAAGTATGCTCCTCTTTTATCTGGTTTACAGCGGCAGTTCAAATGAGTCTCCTTTGTTAATCTTTCTAAGAGCTCTCTTGGTATCTTCGGCAATTCCTGCAATTCATTCTTCAAAATGTGTGAATCTCTCTCCATCGATCAGCAACAAAAACGATATCTCATTTCTAAACTTTCCAACATTGCCATCCGTACTACGTACTACATATTTTGTTGCAAAAATATGCCATGGACAAATCCAGAATTACATCCTTTTTAACTTTGGTTGTTTTTTTCTCAGTTTTTCCTTATACCTTACGATTGTTTTAGTTTTTTTTTGTAAAACCAGGCTAGCCAATTGCAAATTACCTTGTAATAGTGAGACTTGTAATTGTAGTTTAAGTTGAATTGAAAATGAAATGTTTCCATATTATATTATTGTTATTGAATATTTTTTAATTCTTTGGAATTTTTTGAATTTTTTTATTTTTTTCAGTTTTTTTCAGTTTTTTTCAATTTTTTTTGTTCTTTTTAGTTTTTTAAATTTTTTTATTTTTTTTGGATTTACTTTTCTTTATTTTTTTAGTTTTTTTAATTTTTTTAATTTTAATGCTTCTCGAAGCATCATGCGCCTTTAACTTTAACAATATGTAAATATTACACTAGAGGCACAGCTACACCTAAGGTACGGCATCCACTGATTATTAAATTTTCACTCTTATTGCTTATATATTTATGTTAGTACTCTTTTTCAAACTCTTGCTGAAATTCTTTTTCTTACATTGATCAAGAAGCACCCCGAAGAAAAAGGCGAGTTTTGTAAAATTTTACGTCTGATCACATCATACACTCGACTCGAATCATGCCATGCTGATACAAAAGGCAAATTAACAAAGCATCTAACAGCATGACTCAATAAAATAAAAGGCGTTGAAAGCACTATTTAAAATACGTTAAGCGTTAACAAATGGTTCAACAATCCGTTAAAAGCCCTAAAAGCAGCTAAATAGAAAACAAAAGACGTAAGCATAGTTTCCCAACACACCCCGCTCCTTGGCGCATGTTCCTATGCGTCAAGTAAATGTATCACCTTAGGACGCGCATTGTTTGTTGCAGCTCTTATGGGTCGCTCCCCTGCGGACCTCTCATTCTCCTTATTCTCTGAAAAATTCTCTTTTTTCACTCCATCCTCCTTACTCATAGCTCCATTTCTATTCACTAAAGGATACAGTTTTTGAATTGGTCTAGTCAAAGGCTCATACTTACTTCTCCCAGCTTTGCATACCTTGGCACCGCGTATGTGACCATCCTTACCCCGACTCACATTCTTTACGATTGCAATTTTCCATTGACCTCTCTTAAGATTTTCGTCTTGCACTACTACAATGTCTCCTGCATTAATGTTCGCTGGGTTGTTCTTATTCATTCGGTGAGATTCTCTCAAATCTATGAGGTATTCCTTCTTCCACCTAGTCCAAAAACTATTCAACAATCTGGTTAAGTAAGAAAAGCGCTTACAATGTGATGAATGAAGATCGTCTTCATCAAATCTCAATTTACAACCAATACCTGTTGATAGCATGCTTAATCTTCTACCTACCAGCAGATGTGATGGAGTTAATACTTCTCCATCCACCTCATCATATAAATATGTCAAAGGTCTGTTGTTAAGAATACATTCTACCTCCGACAAAACCGTACGTAATTCGTCAGAAGTCACTCTAGCATTTCCAAGTACTTTACGCAGACATCTCTTAACACTTCTTATAATTCTTTCAAAGTGCCCCCCTTGCCAAGGACTTACCTCAAGGTTGAATTTCCAGTCAATTCTTTTTGATTCTAGAAAAGTGTGCACATTCCTGTCTCCATGAAGTTTCTTCAAAAACTTTGAAGTTGATTTAAATGTCTTGGCGTTATCAGAGTTAATTACTTGTGGTGTGCCCCTTTTTGCACAAAATCTCCTCAAACAATTCAAGAATGTAGGGGTAGATAAATCTTCAACTAACTCTGGATGCAGGGCTCTAGTCACGCAACATGAGAATAAACAAATATATACCTTCTTTGTAGCTTGTTTTTGACTTTTCACATATAACGGGCCTGCAAAGTCAATCCCAACATTTGCAAATGGAATAGATTCTTTTACTCTGAAGTCTGGCATTTGGGCTGTTGGTGGTGGTTGGTATGGTCTTCCTTCCAATTTCCTGCAAACAAAACATGAATGTAAGACCTTTTTTACAAATTGCCTAGCCTTAGTTACCCAAAATCGGGCTCTGAGTTCTGCTAAAGTGCCTCTGACTAAACAATGCATGACTCTCTCATGACAATCTCTAACTATCAATTCTGTCAGCTTGTGCTCTTTTGGCAGAAAAATTGGATGCTTTGCTTCCAGGCTCAAGTCAGAGTTTTTTAACTTGCCTTTACAAACGAGCAAACCATTCTCATCTTCAATTCCCAGTGACGTTCTTACTTTCTCAAATACTTTACTACCTTTCACCAATGATTGTGCATCTTTTATCCATTCTTTTTCAGCTCTTATAATTTTTTCTGCACTCAATTTGTCTAACCGCAAAGCTTTTTCTTCTATCTTTGCCTTTAAATTTCCACCAAATCTGAAAACGAATGATGTTACTCTAAGCAATCTTTTGAGAGTGCTGTACTTGCTGATATCAATTAAGCTACTTACCCCAGCAGGTTGTTCAACAGTTGTTACCATTACTGCTACCTTTTTTCTCTCACAGTTAACCTCTTCAGAGTTTAGAGCAATTTCCTCTTGTGAAGGCCAGTTTTCTCTTCTTTCTTTCAGCCAATGGGGACCTTCCCACCACAACTTGCTGCTCATTAGTTGGCTAACTTTTGTGCCCCTTGAACCAATATCACCTCTGATCCTCAATCCCCAATCATCTGCATTTGTCACCTTCAAAATTTCTGAAACTCTAAATTGGACCCACTGCTTCCATTCACCTTGACCCACTGCCTCCAACTTAAGGCTGTTTTGCTGTCTAGCCATACCTTTATATTTGTGATTTCCAATTGAGAACTGAGAGCTTTCATCACAGTGTCTACCAAAGTGGCTAAGATCTTGGCTGATAACAATTCTAACCTTGGAATTGTTATTTCCTTCAAAGGAGCAACTCTACTTTTTGAACACAGCAATGTTATTTTAATGCCTTCAGGTGTTTCATATACCAGATATACCACCCCGCAGTATGCTTTGCTGCTTGCATCACCAAATGCATGAATTTCTACAGATCTTACTTTGTCACTATCAGCATCATAAAGACATCTTGGTAAACTGATATTTTGCACCCTTTCAAGATCCTCTAGCCATAATTTCCATGTTGCTGCCAATAAGTCTGGTATAGGCTCATCTCAACCTACATTTAACTTACACAGATCCTGAAACAAAATTTTAGCAGTTACACCAACAGGACTTAAAATACCATGAGGATCAAAAATAGAAGCTAAAACACTCAAAATACCTCTCTTTGTAAAATGATATTTGTTTAACCTTGTCACACAGCCTAGTAAAGTCAAATTCCAATCTATCAGTCACATTGTCCCATATTACCCCTAAAACCTTACTCTTCTTACCTTCAGCACTTGCACCCCTAAGACTTTCTTTTGCATAGGTGGAATCTTCAGCTAAACTGTGTTTTTCTTCTGATTTGGTCTCTTCTTTAATCTCACTGTTTAGAGTGGGATCACTGCTTTTCCATTTTCGGCTTGCATTCTTTCCTTTGCATTCAAATATAGTGATCTTGCTTCATTGACATTATTTGTACCTGTAACTAGGTCATCAACGTAAAAGCTTTATTTCAACTTTGATACAAAATTTGAATCAACACTTTGATACTCACCAATGTGGTGTCTTAAAACAGCGTTCAGGAGAAAGGGCAATGAATTGACACCAAAAACAACACGTCTGAATCTCATGATGCAAATTTTAGGCTCTGTTTTGTTTATACCATCTAACCATAAAAACCTCAAACAATCTCTGTCTTCTTGGTTAATCTCAATGTTGAGGAAAGCCTTCTCTATGTTTCCTACAAGAGCTACCCTACTTTCACGAAAACGAAGCAAAATGTCAAAAATTAAAGGTGAAAGAGACGGGCCTACATGCAGACAATCATTTAAAGAGGTACCAAATTTTTTGTCTTTGCAGGACGCATCATAGACAACCCCGACCTTTGTTGTCTCTGCTTCTTCTCTCACTACAGCCATGTGGGGAAGGTAGTGTACCTTTTCAGTGACATCCATTTCTGATACTTGTTCAACAATACCTAATTCAACCTGCTCTTTTATTATATCATCATATTTTTGCAGTGTAGAAGGGTCCTTCTTAAGTTTTCTAATAAGGCTGTTAAATCTGGCTGAAGCATTGTCGAAGTTTGTAGGTAAAACTTTATTACCTGCCTTCCATGGCAGACCAACAGAGTATCGTTCGCCATTGACAGTGACGTTGTCTAACAGGTTCTCGTGTACCTAATTTCTTTCACCAATTCCAATTGTTTCAAGGTCCCACAAATTCTGAATTTTATCTTCTAATGCAGATCTGTCACATTTCAAAAGCAAAATTGGTGATTCAGTTATAAAGTTGACATTTGACTCATCAAAATATGATTTCTTACCTTGTAATGGGCCTGACAGCACCCATCCCATTGCAGTCTTGATGGCCACAGGTTCACCTGGCCCCCCTCGTTTAACTTCACCATCCATAAAACTCCATAGCCAGTCTGAGCCAACTAAAACGTCAATTGTTAACGATTCCAACCTAGAAATATCTGAAAATCATATGTTATGCAAATGGGTATAAGATTTCTTGACAACTTCTGGGTGAACATTCTTAATATGAGAAATGTTACTGACAACAAAACATTCAATTTCAATCTTCCTCTTTCCATCAAAAGATACCATAGGCACATTCACCACATCTTTTACCTCAATTTCTGCACTCACGCTCCCAAATGGCTTAATTCCTAATTTCTCTTCTCTCCTCACTCTTAATCCTAACCTATTGACAGCTTCTGCAGTTACAAAAGATTTATGGCTACCTGAGTCATACAAAAGTCTAGCACTCTCTCCATTCACATTTTCTGAAGCTGTCTGTAAGGCTACATCCCCCCTGCTACCGGTACTTTCCACCCAAGATGCTGCAGTGGGGTTAAGCAGGGGTGCATTGGGCTTTTCTGCGTTAACTTGCACACTACTTTGCTTAGGCCTATCTATGCTACTAACATTATGACAAATTGATACGTGATGTAGGCCATTGCATATTCTACAGTTATTCTTATGACGGCAACTGAATGCTCGATGACCAGATTTCAAACATACAAAGCATCTTGCATATTTTCTTAGCACATTCTTCCGGTTTTCAGCTCCCAAAACGTTGGTGCATGTTTCAGAAGCATGGTCTCTCATACAGAAAACACAACTGTTTGCCTTTTCACCAACCAGTAGCGACGAGGCAGTTCCCTCCTTGATGAAGTTGCTTCTGGGCCTAATGTTGTTGTTATTCGCTCGGCTTGTCAAATCCTTTCTGCCCCCCAAACTTTCCAGAGGCATTTGGCACTCTTTTATCGAGATTTCTTTTTCAAAGGCACATAGTAATTCATTTATCGTCCACTTCAAATAATTCTTGTCTGAACTCCTAATCATCTGACCCTTGATATTTTCCGGTACCTTTTCAAGAAGCGTTGGCACGACAACTGCAGAAAATGAGGAGGTGTTGACACCAAGAGCCTCGAGCCCGCGATAATGTGTCTCGATTTCGTCGTGCAGATTGCGCAATCGGCTGACGGCTTTGTCGTTGTAAACAGGGTGGAGCCCCAGGAGGTGGCTAATGTGGGCCTGCTGTATTAGTTCCTGTTTGCCAAATCTTTTCTTCAGAAGGTTGACAGCGATGTCATAATTTTCGTCTTTCATGGGCATTCCTGTTACCATTTTACGTGCAGATTCTTCTAAAAAGCTCTTCAAATATTTAAACTTATCACACGCTGCCAAATCTGGATTCTCGTGGACACTTTGAAAACCATCCCAGAATTTTGGCCACTCGTTTTTTCCCCGTGAATTTCCGTAATTCCAATTTAGGCAATTTCACAACGGTTTTTCTTGTGACATTTCTCGAACTTGAGGATAAACTTGATACTTCCTAATTTAAACTGTCCTTCGATACACTCCTCGCGATGCTGTTCTTTGGTTTTTCTTTGGTATTTGAAAGGCAGTTTATCGAATAAATAGCATTCACAATATTCTTCTTGTATTCCCCAACTTCGTCCATTTCTTTATCTAATTGCTCTTCCTCTTCAACATACTCTAAAAGCAATTCCAAAATTTCTTCATCACTCTTTTTTATCTCCGTTTGTTTCTCTTTAAGCTCGGTTTTAAATATTCCAATGTTCCCTCTTCGATAGACTCGCTGTCCTCTACCAATTCTTTCACTCTGTTTGCGGTCTTTGTGACACTCGTCCGGAATATTTTTCTCATTTTCTTTGCTTTTTCCAAACTTTCCAAACTTGATTCAATGCCTCCGACTCCGGTGGACCATCTGTTAGTACTCTTTTTCAAACTCTTGCTGAAATTCGTTCACTTACATTGATCAAGAAGCACTCCGAAGAAAAAAGCGAGTTTGTAAGATTTTACGTCTGATCACATCATACGCTTGACTCGAATCATGCCATGCTGATACAAAAGGCAAATTAACAAAGCATCTAACAGCGTGACTCAATAAAATAAAAGGCGTTGAAAGCACTATTTAAAATACGTTAAGCGTTAACAAATGGTTCAACAATCCGTTAAAAACCCTAAAAGCAGCTAAATAGAAAACAAAAGACGTAAGCATAGTTTCCCAACAATTTATTTTGCAACCGTGATCCTGGACGCAGGATTGCGAGGGGCGCCCACGAGAAACGGACATGCCGAACTAAAGCCCCGAAATGTCCCTCGTGGGTTTCTGGCTGATAAGTTGCTTTTTTAACATTCTCTGCCCATTTTTAAGCTAATTCACGGCAATCAATGCCTCAGTTTCATCTAGTTTTTACTTGCCGAAATTTCCACGTGTATAACAAGTTTCCCAATCAAATGTTTACACTACAAATTTTAGAGAGATTACCTCTTTACCTCCGGAAATTTGCACCCTGAATCTCAGTGCAAGTTTATTTGTCGGAAATTTACGCTACGAATTTCTTAGAAATTTCTTTTCACTGAGATCTACATGCCAAATTTCAGCTAATGTTTTTGGGTAGTGATCTCATTAACTTCTAACTTGTTTTTAATATCGAATTGCAACAAATTTTAGATGTTTGCTTGATTTTGATTTTGAATTTCAAGGGGAAATGTCGATTTAGGACTAAAATTAGCGACTCTATTTGCACTCGGGCTGTTCTCATTAAATTATTTAGAAGTGTTATTGAGAATTTCAGGTATTAAAGCAAGTTGACCCATAAGACTGTTGATTTAGGATTCAGATCTTAATATTGAATCGTTTTTGTCCTTTCTGTGAGTAACAGGTTTTGCTCGAAATCAATTAAACAGTCTTTGCGCCAAAGTTTATGTTTCGTTTTACAATCTTCCTGCGGTTTGGCAATATTCGATTATGAAAACCTTGCAAATATTATTCGAGAAATTCTTTGTTGGTTAATCGGATGCTTTCAGTAAAATATTAAATTTCTCCTTACTGCCTTAGTTCTGCGACAATGGTAGGCCGCTAGCATGGTGTAGCCCACATCACAGACCAAATCGAAATCGAATTTGATTTGATCTGTGATGCAGACTACACCATGCTCGCGCGCTGCTGGTAGAATGAAAAACAATAGCCCATCGAAGGCAGTTGACAGAAATTGTCACTTCACAATGACTGCCCTGTTGCGAATGGAAATGTGCGCGCCAAAGTAGCAAAGGTCAAGGTGACATTTCCGCCCTTTTGACTTGAGGCCGAGTGCTTGAGTTTATTCCGACGGTTTGCTGGCATGAAAAGAGATCTTCGGAGAATTTTCCCTACTTTCAGAAATAAACATGGCAGAACACAGAGCGAGAAAATTCAATAGTGGTTCGATCAAAAGGTTATCCGTTTCCTCATCTTACTTCGAAATTTATGGCATCTGAGTTGCCTTCTGGGCCTTTAAACAGAATAGAGATTCTATGGCCTTTATTCAACCTTGATTTTGTCAAAAATCTGCGTAAAAAATCGAACTAAAGACTATTTTTGAAAATTGTGATAGCATATATAAAATGTTAATGATCTAAATGTTTATAAAAGATTCAAGAAATCGACCGAAAGCTGTTGTATTTTTAACTCCCCGCCTGGTTTGGCGGGCACCTGATTTATTATAGGTCTGCAGTTATCAAATTCTTTTATGTAATTATTTTCAAAGTTCTGGCTCACAACCCCTGCATGAAAGTACCCTAAAGCGAGCAGATTTCAGCGAAAACGAGATAGAAAGAGAAATGTTTTTCAGATTTTTCGAAATTTTTCAAGATTTACGAATTTTTTTCCGATTTCTCGAGATTTTTTCGAGATTTTTCAAGATTTTTCAAGAATATTTGGGATTTTTTGGATTTTTCGATAATTTTTGAGATTTTTTCCCGATTTTTTTTTATTTTTCGAGTTTTAACAAGATTTTTCAGATTTTTTGGGATTTTTTGATTTTTCCATATTTTTTCAGATTTTTTTCTTTTCTAGATTTTTTTCGAGACTTTTTTCGACATTTTTCAAGATTTTTTGAGACTTTTCAAGATTTTTGATAATTTTCTCGACTTTTTGGGATTTTTTGGATTTTTCGAGTTTTTACGCGGAACTTTTGGGCTTTTTTAAAATTTCTTTTAGATTTTTCGAAACCTTTCAAGATTTTCGAGTTTTTTTCCGATTTCTCGAGATTTTTCGAGATTTTTTGAGATTTTTGGGGTTTTCCAAGATTTTGTGAGATTTTTTTGGATTTTTCCATATTTTTTCCCGATATATTTATTTTTCCAGATTTTCTTCGGAATTTTTCTGATTTTTCCAAATTTTCTTGCAAATTTTAGTCGAGAATTTTCAAGATTTTTTGGGATTTTTTAGATTTTTCGAAATTTTTGAGATTTTTCGCGATTTTTTGAGATTTTTTTATTTTTCGAGATTTTCTGGGATTTTTTGGGTTTTTTTCGATTTTTTTCAGGATTTTTCGAGATTTTTCAGGATTTTTTGAAATTTTTCGAGATCGTTCGGGATTTTTGGGGGTTTTAGGCTTTTTGGGTTTCTTGGGATTTTTCAAGAATTTTTTCAGATTATTCCAGATTTTTTAAAAAATTTGCGAGTTTTTTTCGATATTTTTTTAGATTTTACGAGCAAATGGAAGGTTTTTAGAGATTTTTAAGATTTCTAAAGATTTTTCGAGATTTTTGAAGTTTTTTGAAGACATTTCAAGATTTTTTAGGATTTTTCGCGATTTTTTGCGATTTTTAAGATTTTTCGAAATTTTTGAGATTTTTCGCTGTTTTTTGGGATTATTATTTAATTTTTGGAGATTTTCTGGAATTTCCTGGATTTTTTGAGATTTTTCAATTTTTTTCGAGATTTTTCAAGAATTTTGAAGATTTTTGCGATTTTTCGAGAGTTTTGAGATTTTATAAATTTTTCATAATTTTTCGAGATTTTTGACATTTTTCGCGGTTTTTTGGGATTTTTGGGGCTTTTTAGGCCTTTTGGGTATTTTGAGATTTTTCAAGAATTTTTTCAGATTTTTCCAGATTTTTTAAAATTTGCGAGTTTTTTTCGATATTTCTTTAGATTTTACGAGCAAATGGAAGGTTTTTAGAGATTTTTAAGATTTCTCAAGATTTTTCGAGATTTTCCAATATTTTTGAAGATTTTTCAGGATTTTTCAAAATATTTTGGGATTCTTCGATATTTTTTGTGATTTTTGCAGCTCTTTGGGATTCATGGGATTTTCGAGTTTTTCAGAATTTTGCAATTTTTGCGATTTTTGTGTTTTTTTGCAATTTTTCAAAATTATCAGAGATTCTTCGAGATTTTCTGGGTTTTTTTGGGTTTCTCGAGATTTTTTGAAATTTTTCGAGATTTTTCAAGATTTTTTGAAATTTTTCGAGATTTTCCAGGATAGTTCAAGATTTTTTGGGATTCTACGATTTTTTTTGGGATTTTTGTGGCTTTTCTGGATTTTTGGGATTTTTGGGATCTTTCGAGTTTTTCACAATTTTTGCGTTTTTTTGCAATTTTTCAGAATTTTGAGAGATTCTTCGAGATTTTTCAAGAATTTTCGAGATTTTTCGTGATTTTTCGAGACTTTTCAAGATTTTTCAAGATTTTTTGAGTTATTCACAGTTTTGCAATTTTTGCAATTTTTTGCGTTTTTTTGAAATTTTTCAAAATTTTCAGAGATTTTGAAGATTGCTGAAGATTTTTCGAGATTTTTTTCAAGGTTTTTCAAGATTTTTTGGGATTCTTCGATATATTTTGGGATTTTTGCGGCTTTTTGGGATTTTTTAGATTTCTCGACTTTTTCACATTTTAGCAATTTTTGCGTTTTTTTGCAATTTTTCATAACTTTCAGATTCTGAATAGGCTTTTCGAGATTTCTCGAGATTTTTCGAGATTTTTCAGGATTTTTCTTTTTTCGAGATTTTTTGAAATTCTTCGAGATTCTTCAGGATTTTTGATATTTTTCGAATTTTTTCAAAATTTTTCAAAATTTTCGAGAATTTTAAAGATTTGTTAGAATTTTTTTCAGATTTCTCGAGATTTTTAAAATTTTTAGCGCTTTTTTTGGATTTTTTGATTTCTCGAGATTTTCGGGGGTTTTTTTTTGGGTTTTTCGAGATTTTTCGAGATTTTTTGGGAGTTTTGGGTCTCTTTAGCTTTTCGGGATTTTTGGGGTTTTTTGAGTTTTTCACAATTTTTGCGTTTTTTTGCAGAGATTTTCAGAGATTCTTCGCGATTTTCAAGAATTTGCGATTCTTCGAGAGTTTTGAGATTTTTCAGATTTTTCGAGATTTTTCGAGGTTCTTCCAGATTTTTCAAGAATTTTGCGATTTTTTGAGAGTTTTGAGATTTTTCGAGATTTTTCGAGGTTTTTCAAGATTTTTCAATATTGTTGAGATTTTTCAAGATTTTTAATAATTTTAGGTGTTTTTAGGTTTTTTTTATTTTTAGAGATTTTCTGGGATTTCCTGGGAATTTCGAGATTTTTCAAGATTTTTCAAGATTTTCGTGAATTTTCAAGATTTGCTGGAAGATTATTAGATTTCTCGAGATTTCTAAAGTTTTTCGCGATTTTTTTGGATTTTTTGATTTTTCGATATTTTCTGGGTTTCTTTGGGTTTTTCAAGATTTTTTGAGATTTTTCGAGATTTTTCAAGATTTTTTAGGATTCTTCGATACTTTCTGGGATTTTTCTGGCTTTTTAGGCTATTTTGGATTTTTTGGGTTTTACGAGTTTTTCATAATTTTTGCGATTTTTGCGTTTTTTTGCAATTTTTTCAAAATTTACAGAGATGTTTCGAGATTTTTCAAGATTTGTTGAAAATTTTTTAGATTTTTCGAGGTTTTCAAGAATTTTGCGATTTTTCGAGATTTTTTAATTTTTTTCGAGATTTTGCGAGATTTTTCAACATTTTTCAAGACTTTCTGGCTTTTTTTGGGTTTTTCGAGATTTTTCGAGATTTTTTGGGAATTTTGAGATGTTTCAAGATTTTTGAGATTTTTAGCTGTTTTTCCCAATTTTTGCGTTTTTTTGCAATTTTTCAGAATTTTCAGAGGTTCTTCGAGACTTTTCAAGAATTTTGCGATTTTTTGAGAGTTTTGGGATTTTTTAGATTTTTCGTGGTTCTTCAAGATTTTTCAATATTTTTCGAGATTTTTCGAGATTTTTAAGATTTTTCGCGATTTTTCGCGATTTTTGAGATTTTTCGAGATTTTTGAGATTTTTAGCTGTTTTTAGGTCTTTTTTTATTTTTCGAGATTTTCTGGGATTTCCTGGGTTTTTCGAGATTTTTCAAGATTTTTCAAGATTTTCGAGAATTTTCAAGATTTGTTGGAATATTTTTAGATTTCTCGAGACTTTTAGAGTTTTTTGCAATTTTTTTGGATTTTTCATTTTTCGAGATATTCTGGGTTTTCTTTGGGTTTTTCGAGATTTTTCGAGATTTTTTGGGAGTTTTGGGTCTCTTTACCTTTTCGGGATTTTTGGGGATTTTCGAAATTTTCACAATTTCTGCGTTTTATTGCAGAGATTTTCAGAGATTCTTCGCGATTTTCGAGATTTTTCAGATTTTTCGAGATTTTTCGAGGTTCTTCAAGATTTTTCAAGAATTTTGCGATTTTTTGGGAGTTTTGAGATTTTTCGAGATTTTTCGAGGTTCTTCAAGGTTTTTCATTATTTTGAGATTTTTCAAGATTTTTGATAATTTTAGGTGTTTTTAGGTTTTTTTTGATTTTTAGAGATTTTCTGGGATTTCCTGGGTTTTTCTAGATTTTCAAGATTTTTCAAGATTTTCGTGAATTTTCAAGATTTGCTGGGAGATTATTAGATTTCTTGGGATTTCTAAAGTTTTTCGCGATTTTTTGAGATTTTTTGATTTTTCGAGATTTTTCAAGATTTGTTGAAAAATTTCTAGATTTTTCGAGGTTTTCAAGAATTTTGCGACTTTTCGAGATTTTTCAATTTTTTTCGAGATTTTGCGAGATTTTTCAATATTTTTCAAGATTTTCTGGCTTTTTTGGGTTTTTCGAGATTTTTCGAGATTTTTTGGGATTTTTGGGTCTCTTTAGCTTTTCAGGATTTTTGGGGTTTTTCGAGTTTTTCGCAATTTTTGCGTTTTTTTGCAGAGATTTTCAGAGTTTCTTTGAAATTTTTCAAGAATTTTGCTATTTTTTGAGAGTTTTGAGATTTTTTAGATTTTTCAAGATTTTTCGAGGTTCCTCAAGATTTTCAATATTTTTCGTAATTTTTCGAGATTTTTGAGATTTTTCGCGATTTTTCACGATTTTTGCGATTTTTCGAGAGTCTTGAGATTTTTCGCTGTTTTTTGAGATTTTTTGTTTTTCGAGATTTTCTGGTTTTTTTTGGGTTTTTCGATATTTTTTGGGATTTTTGTGGCTTTTTAGGTTTGTGCCCAAGCACCAGAACAAGCAACAGTACAAGCACTAGCACCAGCACAAGCACCAGCACAAGCACCAGCACAAGCACCAGCACAAGCACCAGCACAAGCACCAGCACAAGCACCAGCACAAGCACCAGCACAAGCACCAGCACAAGCACCAGCAGAAGCACCAGCACAAGCACCAGCACAGCACCAGCACCAGCACCAGCACAAGCACCAGCACAAGCACCAGCACAAGCACCAGCACCAGCACCAGCACAAGCACCAGCACCAGAACCAGCACAAGCACCATCAGCACCAGCACAAGCACCAGCACAAGCACCAGTACAAGCACCAGCACAAGCACCAGCACAAGCAACAGCACAAGCACCAGCACAAGCACCAGCACAAGCACCAGCACAAGCACCAGCACAAGCACCAGCACAAGCACCAGCACAAGCACCAGCACAAGCACCAGCACAAGCACCGGCACCAGCACCAGCACCAGCACCAGCACCACCAACAGCACCACAACCAGCACCAGTGCAACCAGCACCATCCTAAGCACCAAGACAGACAAAAGTGCCAGCTTCAGCAGAAGCAACGACACAGGCACCAGCACCAGCACAAGCACCAGCACCAGCACCAGCACCAGTCTAAGCACCAGGACAGGCAAAAGCGCCAGCACCAGCACTAACACCAGCACAAGCACTGGGTCAAGCACAAGCACCAGCACCACCTCCAGTCCCAGCACCAGCACTAGCAGCAGCACCAGCACAAGCTCCAGCACCAATACCAATACCAGAACCACCATCAGCAAGAGCACCAGACTAAGCACCAGAACTAGCACCAGCTCCAGCACCAGCACCAACACCAGCTCCAGCAACA